TGTGAGCTCAATCACCTTTCCAGAGGTGAATAAAGCCTGATGGAGCAAAACTATCTTGTCAGATGGGACTACATTTAAATCTGTTCTATAATTAAAAAAAAAAAAAATTGATCAGTTTTGGTCATGACCAAATAAATATCTTACCAAGTTAGTTTAAAAGCAAAGTACACACATCAACATTACTATGTCTAAGATGTTTAATAGTAACCCACCTGGGCTAAAAGCTCCTTTGACTTGCTCATAGTAGAAAAGCATCCTGTCCAACCTCTAGGTTTAGAAAGCTGTCACATAAAGTGTGCTGTAAAACAAGTAGTTGTACTCTGAAGCTAAAATCTGGAGGTCTACTTGTATTTGTTTAGAATATCTACTGAGTTGTGGGAGACAGATGAAAAGCTTTTAGGAAGAGAGGGTATTCTTTAATGTTAATTTTCTTGTATTTGGTCTAGTTGTTGAAGGATACAGTCATTAAGAATCCACCAAAAAGGAACATAAATACAAAGTCTGCTGTCCGACCTCGGAAAGAGCCTTCTTCTAGCATTCGACAGTAACGATATCTTAAGTTCCAAGTTAAGAAAATATTAAGCACACAGATATGAAATACAATTTAATACTATCACCTGACTACACTTGGACTGCACATAAGTCAAGCCTTTACTTCTGTAAGAATGTTTATGAGTGTAGTATGACTACTTCTCTGTTACCAAGCATTTCAGGCAAGGTGAAGACCGGTCTCATATTTTACAAAAACTGCTCCTGATTGGGCAACTAAGACAGATGCTACATAAACATGCTTCTAGTCACCTATTAAATCTTATCGAGTGTGTATCATCTTTCCCACATTTAATCATGTGCTATCTGCCCCATCCTTAGTTTTTCACAACTTGGGAGAAATCCCCAACAAGCAGCCTTATGTGATAATCTACTTCTGTAAGCCAGGCAGATGAAACATTTCTATACCTCAGTCAATAAAGATTATAGTGAAAAATTTTTATTAGAAACTTACCAGAATGATATATAGGAGACACAGGAATCCATCCTAGGGCAGGTAACCTGCCACCCCTTTCAAGGCCCTCTGTCAACTACAGATGAGCCGAGTTGTCATTCCCCTCTTAATCCAGAGGATGGGGGTAAGGAGGAATCCCTTCCTCAGAGGCCCCAGTTATCATCTGACCAGAACACAGCTCTCCTTCCCTCTCTTTCAACAAACCAGATCATGGCAAGCCTAGCAGAAATGGCACTGTATTTTCAGCCAGTAGAACCGGCAACCATGATCCAAGGAGATCTCAAATACCCTAATTCCGATTGGTACCACAAATCTGTTAATTTTTATCCAGCTTGTGTCTTACCACTTGGTACCTTATGCTATCTTCTAAGTACATATGCCTCAATACATTACTTCTCTCCCATTATCAGATTTATAGTGACACAAGGGCAGATATATTATCATTTTGTGGCTAAATACTTCCCACTTGAATGTTACCTATAAACATCCTCAAACATTACTATTTAAACAACTACTCTGGGTTATAAGCTATAACCCATAAGTTATAGCTAAGATGGCAACAAAAATAACAGGATTAATCTTTGTGTTTTAGAAAATATAAATACTTAATAGTTACAAAATACAAACACTTAATATTCTTTTTCCTAAGTAAATCTAAAATTTTTATGCTCACCCATTTAATAAAGGATACAAAAATATCATGTTAAATAAGAAATTGAATCCAACTGGCCCAAAAAATAAGAAATTGGTGATTAGCCTCCATATCTGTTAAAAAAAAAAAAATCAAGAGAAAGTAAATTAAGTAAGATATATTACCAGGGAACATTTCCATATTAAGACAATAGGGCTATCCTACGTTATGAGTATGATGATTGGAAAGGCCACAATAGGGTGATACTATGTTCTGAACCAAAAACTGGGAGACACAATTAGATACCAGATTTTTATGCTGCTTCTAATTAAAGTCTGAAAGATGTCTTTTGGACTCTGAAATTTGTAAGGATCCAGAATAGAAAACTTGAATTTGTTATTGCCAAAAAATAAAACACCACACCACATGGTCAGACAAATTAAGAAAAAGTCTGATAGAAAGACTAGGTTAATTTGTAGAAAACAGTGCTTTTCTGTAGGCAGTATCAAAATGCAGTGAGTGGTCCTGAAACACCAGAGAAATATTTCAGGGGTCTAAGACACATTCAGAGTAAAGAGTGATTCTAATGCAAGAGTTCAAGTTCTAGTTTGAATGACCAATTCCCGATAGCATCTATGCTTTAATAATTAGAATCTAATTGGTAGATACAAGGACACTCATTTTTATGTAGGAAACACTGACATACCCTTTCCTATTCAACCCACCCAGACCTGTAAAAGCCACTACTTACAATGGTAGAGCCACTGAACTTTTTATCTCATGTGATCTTAAAAATCCTGTGAGATAAGCAGGCTGGATAATTTTTAAATGGCTTGCCCAAGTTTGTAGAGGGAGATGCTAAACTTAAACCCAGAACTCATATATCCAAGTGCAGATACATGCTGTCATCAAGAATGTAACTCCAGACAAAATTAAGCCAAGCAAGTAAATAGTAAGCAATGCTTGGATGGAGCCAAGGCTACCAGCAAAAGCTACGTAAGTATCAAGGAAGACAGCAGTGACAAAAGTCCATAGGACTGTTTTTTTATGCATCACTAAATTCTTAAGAACTGATAATTATTAAATTTGAAACAATTAAGTTCTATATAGTGATTGGACCCAGGATTTGAGAGTCCTCAACCCTGTGACACAGGCATATATGTAAGTGCAAGTACAGGTGAGAGGTTCTCTAAAAGAAGTATTAACAGATACCCTAAGGGCATAAAGGAGGATGAGTCTGAGAAGGCTACACAAGAGAGTCATCTTAAAAGGCAAACTGGAGTTCAGTGAGTAAAAAGTGACTGCAGCACATCTGAGACAAAAGGAATGGCATATGTAGAGTCAGAATCACTGGCTTTTGGGTTTCTCTCCCACTCCAGCTGTAAACTGTATGATCATCCAGGAAAACATGCCTCTTTTAGCACTCTAAGAACTGGAAAAGACTATATCCCACTGTGATCTAACAAACTGGCATGTTGTTTTAGATGTCAGTTTTTTTGGCATTTTGGTAGCATGATCTGATTCCTGGAAGATGGATCAATTTAAAAACACAAAAAGCTGACTTTGTGAAAGGAGGTAACACCAGGGTGGTGGGTGTGGTCAGTGGACAAAATCAGGTCATCCTGTAAGAGTCTCTTTTGTCAGCTAGCTGGTGGGTCTCCTCACAAACTACAGTATTAACTCTGAACCAGTGTTCCCTAAATACAGGGAATGGACACATCAAATTGAAAACCAAACAGAGAACTGTACAAGTAAAATACAGATTCTTAACTTTCTACCTTGGTAATTCTGATTTGGTACATGCAGAAGAACTTGAGAATCTCTTAAATGACCTAGGTGACTTGACTCTGAAGCCCAAACAGGCTCAATCCCCCAGTAACACTTATAACCAAAAATCCCCACTGGATTAGTTTTTGAGAATATGGTGGGGTTTGCTACTAAAAAGTGAAAAAGTAAATTAAAAAACTGAAACATTAATTGTGGTTATGATGTCCCACTTACTTGAAAATGTTTAAAGATTAATTCAGGATTGAAGTACAACTGAAAGGGTGTGATCAATTCCAATTGCTGAAATAGAAAAAGAGGTTCTTAAAGTATAACTGATGGAGAAACAATTTTTTAAAAGTTACAACAAAGGATAAGTAGGCCTTGCAATTTCCAACTCAGTCACGGAGACTGAATTCCTTGAAAGTTTTTTTTCTTAAACCAGAGAAAATGTTGGTAAATATATCCTTCAACTGTTTCAATTCTTGGTATCCCCAAACTTAAGACAAATCAAATGCCTTTGTTTCAAACAAGCAAGGCTTGTTGAGACTGACAGGAAGACATGGGAGGCAGATGGGGCTATCTTATGACACAGGGCAAGTAAGAACAGCTGCTATAATCTGCCCACCGCATGGGCACCACCTGTAAACAACTGTGTGACCCAACACAAGTCACTCAAGAGGCGAGACTTGAGACCCTGCTACCGACTGAGTGGGGTGCTTCCAGCCGACCTCTATATCCAGACTCGATTTCAAGAATTTCTTCTCGACAGCTCCAGCTTTCTATCCTCAAAATCTAAGTTTCTTTAGTAAGCGGACCTTCTTTCCACTAGTTACCACGGCACCGCTTGCTATTAACAAGAGTTCTCAGACAGATTTCCTGGGTGGGAGGCTCCTGCAGTTGACTCGCTGTAGGTTGGGCCTTCATCTCAGAAACGGCCCAGCCGTCCCGAACCTCCACACTTCACGGAGCAGCACTCCTCCGGCCACGGGATAAGCTCTTTAGGGGCCACCGCGAACCCCAGAGTGGGTCCTGAATGCTTCCACCCACCCCTGAGACCAACCCCTCGAGGCTACCCCGAGGCCTAAACCCTAGTTTCCTGGGGACTCAGTCATATCCTCCAGGCTAGTGAAAGGCTGGCGCTGCAGCTGCTCACCACAGCGGCGGTGGTGAGGACGCAGGCGGTGGTGTAGGCGCGGCTGACCGGTGGGATCTGCAGGTACTCCAGCCGGAGGCTCTGGTACGCCATCTTCCCCACCGCCGCCTGCCCCTGCACTTCCCCTTCCGCCAGTCAGCCCGAGCGACGGGGCGGGGCCAAAACGGGACCCGCCCGCTAGAGGGCGGCTGCCCAATCAGAGCCGCGCAACCCGTCGCAGGCGCCCCGCACACTTGCCAATCACGAGTTCGTGTCCGCGGCGTCCCAGCCTTGCTTCTCCACCCACCAACGTCCGGGAGAAGAGTAAGTACCGGTTCCTTCCGCCAATCCCCGCCGGCCACAGCTCGCTTTCCCGCCCGGCCCCGTTGGGTCGCCACCCGCGGCGGCCCCCCGCCCGCAGGAGAGCCAGCCAATCAGGAGTGCGCTCGCCTCCCGCCTGCCCTCCCGTTCGCCGAGGCAGGTATCCGTCGGGACTGCGCAGCGCCAGTGCCGCAGCCTATCTCGGGCCGCCCCCGGTGCTTTGAAGGCGGTGGCGGGAACTCGCTGTGGGTCAGGTTCCGCGTCTCCTCACGGTCGCTTGGGTAGGTGCCGCGGGGCTGCATTTTCTCTGCTGAGGAGCGGGAAGGGGGGGGACTGTGTTGGGCGTGGTCGAGGGTGTCGGAGCGGCCTCCTGGGCGGCCTCGCCCGCTGGTGTCCAGCCTGCCCCGAGCTCCCGGCATGCAGCGGGGTCGCGTTGCCCCACGGGAGCGGCCCGGCGGCCGGAAGCTGTCTGCGCGGCGGTTCCTGGGACTGCTGGCTCGCTGAGCTCGCCTGCGTTCCTCTGCCTGCTTTCGGGAATTCTTAAATCTAGCCAGGAAAGCTAGGTGGGTCCGCGAATAATAATACCCTAAGGTAGAACTCGTCAGTGCCGGGAGACGTCCTGGTGGGACTTCAGAGGCGCCGGTGGGTCTCGAGGGAGGTGTGTTTGGACAGAGCATTGAAGGAATTTTGGTCACCCCAGCCTTTCTGGAGAGAAACACATCACTGTGGGGATGTTATAGGGCAGCCCCGATATTGAACGGGTTGCCTGGCTGTGGGTCCTCACCCGCGCGCTTACAAGGGACTTAATACTCCACTACAGGCACACACAAAAGGTTAATAAAAGGTTTATTTACAAGGGAAAAGGAAATAAGGAAAATGTACAACTCAGGGAGAAAATAGGGAAATAAAGTCTTGAATGCGTCCTACCCGATCCGCCGACCTGGAAACCCAAAAAGCACTCTCCAAGCTGGCGGAGAGCCAAAATGGGGGACCCCTCCAAAGCCCACGTGTCTGGCCTTATACTAGCCTGGCTGCTTAACCCCACCCTCAGGCCCCAGCCACCTTCCCTTTGGTGGTGATGGGATGTGGAGTTCCCAGTGTCTTTGGCTTTGGCCTGGGGTGGGGGTGGAGTCCGCAAAGCCTGTATGGAATTAGCTTTAGGACATCCTTTTCCCCCTAACAGGGAGGAGAGAAAGCTCGATCTGGCTGAAGCCAAAGTAGGCAGTTCATGGTAGGCAAAGATAAGAGTATCATACTTTATTTGGTTTGTTGTAAGGCAGCCTTAAAATTTATTGAACAGGAAGTAACCACCAAATCAGGAAGGAGGCAAGAAAAAACTCGGAGGAAATGGCTTCTTAGGAGGACGTGAGTGGGTTACTTACAGAACGAGAAATCTGAAAAGGTAATGTGCATGAAAGCTAATGCGTGCTCAACTTGATTGGTAATCGGAGAAATGCATATTCAGGTATTTTTACTTGCTCCCCAAATGTCACACATGCAAAATGTTGATGAAACAAGGCTGAATGTATTGCTTATCTTGGTAAGGGAGAGCACTCCCTCAACAGAGTAGTGTCTCAGTGTATCTCACAAGGAAATAAGGCAAGTTGGAATTTTTACAATTGCTTAACTTTGGCTTAAGGTGGATCTTAAAATTTGGGGACTTGATTAGGATTGGATAGGGATTGGGAAAATAGATTAGGATTGGCAGAAACAGCTAACACAAGGATGTCAAAGAATCTTAGGGTACATTTATCTTCCATGCTTCCCGTTGAAGAGTTGATTCATCTCTTGGGGAGTTCATAATGAACATTCAATTCACTTGAATAATGAAAATGCTCGTGTCTCCTAGAATAGTAAACTCATGCTAAGTAAACAGTAAATTGTTCCAGAAAAGACCTTTCAGGAGGATGTTATTTACAGTATTTCTGTAGCTAGGTGCTGAAAGCAAACAAGATATCTGTCCCCAAAATGGATACATTAAGTGTGGTATATGCATATGATAAAATTGATGGAATACTTAGGAATGATAAGTAGCATAAAGTAATGCAAACATGAAAATGTAGAGTACAAAATTTTCAAGAATACATATCTAACACTTACTAGAGATGCATTGTAATTTGGACATGCTTAACCAGTAATAAAATCATTCTCTTTTCTGTCTTATGAAGGTAATTCTGTGAATTGGCAGGATTTTTATATGCTCAACGTTCCGCTATGCTTTTAGGATCAAGTTGACACTCCTTCAACATAGTTTACAAGGGTCTTTACATCTAACCCTTATTAACCAAGCACTGTCATCCTTTTTAAGTGCTTCACACATGCAATTAAGCCGGTAGTACCTCATACTTTGCGGCACTCTATTTTTGGCCCATGTTAGCTTCTTTTATGTTAGTCTTCCATCTTCCATAGGAAACTACCTTAGTGTTTATAACATATGCCTTTTCAACCCACCTTTTGTTTTATTATAGGTGATCTGTGAATGAAATTACAAAGACAAAAATTCTACTTTAGCTGTACAGCAGTCAAGCAGTTAAATAACCATTCTGTTTTTAACCATCACATTTATAAATTCTCAAGAGTTTATAAGAGCATGTTGTCATCCCAGTGGAAAGATTTGACCACACCATTTGCTTCATATTCTTTGAGAAAGTTCATCCTATAGTCAGGTAATTGAGTTAGCAGTTTGTTCCAGCTAATTCTTTTATCTGGAGGAATGATAATATTTTTCTGATTTCTATGAGAGAGATATGCTTATAGTTCAGAAAAAGGTGACGGTTTAACTTCCGTAGTGCAGTTTTCCTAGATGGTTACCATTGAAAGGAATGACTCCTAGACCCTTGAAAAGTATGTTAGGGTTGTAAAGCTGGCAAGGGGCTTCTAATTAGGGTTTATTTTCAGGTAGCTAGGTTGGAAAGACAAGGGGATTGAGGACATTGGCAAGGCGGTAGCTGAAGTAATGGATTGTGGAGCCTGAAATGAATTGGGAAAGAAGTGAAGCGGGAGAGACAGCAATAAAGAGAGGTTCAGAGGGCTGAAAGTCTTGAAGATAACAGATAAGTATGTTAAGGGTAATTGGAAGAATAGCATATGAAGTCAAATAGTAGCAGTCAGAGAGAGAAGTTACAAATATAGGTAGCCAAGTAGCTAAAAGAGTGGAGATGAGTCATTGAAACTCAAGAAATCTGAATTTCTGGTTTGGTCATAACATTGCAAATTGTCTGGGATGGTAATAAAATTCAGAATGATCCATAGGCCAGAGTCCTCAATATATGAGAGGTGAGAAGAATGAACAATGAGGGGGGGGGGAAGGGAGTTAATAGCCTGATGAAAAGAATCTCCGAGAGACATAAAGCTGGAATTTTGCATTGGGCACCAGGGCGCAGAACTCCTTAATTTTTGTTTGCTGCTTTGATATCCCTCCCCCTGCCCCGCCCGCCCCATCTATAATATGATGTTATTTTCCTCAAATAAGTTTCATGTAATGAAATTTTTTTCTTCTTACATTTACAGATTTTTTTAACCAATCAAAATTAACACAGCAAAATAAGCCAAGATGTCAGTCAATCCAATGACTTATGAGGCACAGTTCTTTGGTTTCACACCACAAACTTGCATGCTTAGGATCTACATTGCATTTCAAGACTACCTATTTGAAGTGATGCAGGCTGTCGAACAGGTTATTCTGAAGAAGCTGGAAAGCCTCCCAGGTTGTGACATTAGTCCTGTCCAGATCCGTAAATGCACAGAGCAGTTTCTTTGCATCATGAAAGGACGTTTTGATAACCTTTTTGGCAAAATGGAGAAGCTGTTTCTACAGATGATTTTGCACATACCTCCAAACATCCTGCTTCCGGAAGACAAATCTCAGGAGATGCATCCTTGCAGTGAGGAAGAATTCCAGCTTCTCCAAAAAGAAATTGAACAGTTACAGGGGAAGTATAAGGCTGAATTATGTACTAAACAGGCTCTTCTTGCAGAATTAGAGGAGCAAAAAATTACTCAGGCCAAACTCAGACAGACATTGGCTCTGTTTGATGAGCTTGAGAATATTGGCAGAGATCACGGGACTAGTGATTTTAGGGAGAGCTTAGTGTTTCTGGCCCAAAACTCCAGAAAACTACAGAATATTAGAGACAATGTGGAAATGGAAGGCAAAAAACTGAAAATATCTTAATTTGCAGATAGTAAAACGAGCCTGTCAGAATGGTATAGGATAAACATCAACAGTGACTCTTATTCTAGTGAATTGTGTATTTTATTGGTTTTCCTTGTTTACTCATATTCCATATTTTCTCATTCATTCTCAAGTTTCTAAGTTTGATATTTCTAATAACTAAATATCAAAGCATGTTTCTTAGAGGCCTGTAGTAGGTGGGAAGGGATTCTTGACTCTGTAACAATTTATTTATGGGCATGATTGAAGAAGTAAAGCTCTCCCTGGCCAAAGACATTTGTAAAGTTGTACCTTGATCATGAATCCTTTGTAGCATTGATGCTTTTGGCTTATTCTTTGAATGAAACCAAATGTGGAAAAAAGGTTAAATGGATAGCTTCTTTATTAATCAGCTACTGTGCTGTGTGACAACTGCTTGTTTCTGTCCAGTAGCTTTCTTACACAAGAAAGTTGATAACTAGTTGAAAGAAGCATGTAGCCAAAAACCAACCAGGTTCTTTAGTGATGAGCAAAGAAGTCATTTTTATTCTACAGTCCTTCCCATGACTAAGACTTTGGAGAATTTAAACAATTGAGTATGTTGGAGTATGGAGTCCAGCAGAAGACTGTGGACATGAAAACAGATCTAACTGGAATAGAAAAGGAACATACCCAATAGCTAGGTCTATATTAACTGATTGTTAGGTATTTATACCATTTTGTTTTTCATACTTCATTTAGCTTTGGAACTGCTTGTACCTACTATTTATTTATTCACTCTCATCAACACCAAATATTTAATTCCTTCAGTGGGAAATTTTAGCTGTGTCTTGTGCTTAAATTCAATAGGTTCTAATATTTCCTTTTGTTTTTAGTCTGCAAAAAGTGTTAGATCATCCAAGGAAAGGGGAGAAATAGCAATAGTTACTCATAGATATTGCTTGCCATCACGTCTTTCTAAAGAAAAGGATTTGGCGTTTTTCTCTTATATAGAGGAGTAACTTTGGGTATTAATATTTGCAATTAAGTATTCCTAGGTTTAAGAAGCTCGTATTTACCTTGAATGTTTATTAGAGGTCTTTCACCAACCCTGTCATTAAATACATATATTTTAAAAACTTTAAAAAAATGTTCTGCTGTCATGCTATGTTACTTCCTTCAGTATGACTTTTTACCCAAATGAAAAATTTTTTTAGTGTTAAAAAAAAGTGCGTGTTTGTGTGTGTGTCCTGTATCTCTTTTATCCATTCATTTGTCATTAGGCTTGGATTGTTTCCATATCTTGGCTATTGTGAATAGTGCTTCAGTGAACATAGGGATGCAGATATCTTTTTGAATTAGAGTTTTCATATTTTTCAGGTCAGTACCCACAAGTGGATTACTGGGTCATATGGCAATTGTATTTTTAATTTTTTGTAGTGCCTCCATCCTGTTTTCCATAGAGGCATACAAAGTGTACATATCAATAGTGTACAAAGGTTCCTTTTTCTCTGTATCCTTGTTACTTATTTCTTGACTTTTTTTTTTTAAGATTTTTTTTTTTTAATAGAGGCATGTTTTTATTTATTTATGTGTTTGTTTGTTTTGTTTATACATGCACTGGGTACAGTCAGAAGCGCGGGAGGGTGAAAGAATTCACCAGAGCCAGAGCGGGGAGCAGAGCAGGCAGAAGGACCGAAGTACACTGCTGAGGGGAGCAGCGGGCGGCAGGAGAGGTCTGCGCGCCATGTGGGACACTCCTCCGGTGGCTTGGGAGCAGCCAGGGATCGAACCGGCGCCACAGAGGCCGCGGGCAGCTTCGCAACCCAGCGCTCTACCGCTGCGCCACCTGGGAGGCCCTATTTCTTGACTTTTTGATAGTAGTTTTTTTTTTTTTTTTAAAGATTTATGCATACGAGAGCTTGTGTAGGCCAGAGGTGCAGTGGGGGAGGGGGTGCAGGAGTGATGGTGAGAGGATTCATCAGACACAGAGCAGGGAGCAAAATAGGCAGATCCACCAAAATACACTGCTGAGGGGAGCAATGGGTGAGACAGGTCTGCTGCGCCATGTGGGTCAACTCCCTGATTGGGGAATCAACTCTTAACTGCAGCGGCTGCCTATAGCTTGATAGTGCTCTTTAACCCCTGTGCTACCAGGGAGGCCCCCATGGTAGCTGGTCTAACTGATGTGAGGTGAAATCTCATTGTGGCTTTGTTTTGCATTTCCTTAATTATAAGCAGCACAGAACATCTCTTCATGCATGTTGGCCATCTATATACCATCTGTGGTAAAATGCCTATTTAGATATGCCCGTTTTTCAATTTTTTTTTGTTGTTAAATTGTAGGAGTTAGATATTTTGGATAGTAACCCCATTTATTTTTATGATAAAGCCCTGAAAATGTTTTGATATATTGTGGAAAGTCTTGATATTCTGGACAAGGGAGACTTATTGGAAACCCAGAAATTGGGGGACAATTAAGAGTATTTGGGAAGTGGGCCTCCCTGATGGCGCAGCGGTTGAGCGCTGGGTTGCGAAGCTGCCCGCGGCTTCTGCGGCGCCGGTTCGATCCCCAGCTGCTCCCCGGCCACTGGAGGAGGGTCCCGCATGGCGCGCAGACCTCTCCTGCCGCCCGCTGCTCCCCTCAGCAGTGTACCTCGGTCCTTCTGCCTGCTCTGCTCCCTGCTCTGGCTCTGGTGAATTCTCTCGCCCTCCCGCGCTTCTGACTGTGCCCAGTGCATGTATAAACAAAAACAAAAAACAAACAGATAAAATAAATAAATAAATAAATAAACATGCCTCTATTAAAAAAAAAAAAAAAAAAAGAGTATTTGGGAAGTATAGGGAAACCTAATTAAGAAATTAGGGGGCAGTGGGGGAGGAAGGAGTGTGACCAAATATTCTAGGATACTTGTACTACAAAAGAGAAATATTGGCCTGGTCAGACAAATGAGGAAGCTAAAGGGAAATGGATGGTGTGAAAGTAATGGAAATTTGGTATTTGTTGGAAAATATGGACCAAACATTGGGATTCAATGGAATAAGGAATTTCAAGGTATGGAGAAAAGAGCTAATAGGGGAAACTACAGGGATATGGGGAGAAAGTGATTAGATTTTGGGGTTAGCAAAAAATTTAATATTGGGGACAGCAGTGATGTGGATGCTGAGGACTGGAGTGCAATATTGGGGAGACAAATTGGGTACAACAATGAATTCTGAAATGAGGATCAACTGGGCTAGATATTTAGCAGAATATTAGAACCAATGTTCAGATTGTAGAAGCAATAGAATCTAATAATGGTACTTACGGGAACTAGGTATTGGAATCTGGGATAGAGAATGGAGGCCTAGATTTGGTGGTACAGAAAGGGTCACGATATTGGAACAATGTACCAATTATTGAACAGGGGACTTTATTTTTTTTTAAAGATTTATTTATGCATACAAGAGTGGGGGTACAGGCCAGAGATGTGGGGGGTGAGAGGATTCACCAGAGAGTGGGGAACAGAACAGACAGACTGACCGAAGTACACTGCTGAGGGGAGCAGGGGGCAAGTCAGGAGAGGTCTGCTGTGCCATGTGGGTTGCTCCCTGGCTGGCCGGGGATTGAACTTGTGCTGCAGAGGCTGCGGATTGCTTCACAGTGCAGTGCTTAACCCCTTGCGCCACCAGGAAGGCCCTGAACAGGGGACTTTAATCTTGGGAATGGGGAGAGGGGAGGATTCTATCAGGGCATTAGCTGAAGGAAAGATATTGGGGGATCACATCTTGAGCACTCATTGGAAGACAATAATGAAGGATAGTAGGTAGTGGCTGAATGGGAAAATGAGATCAAATGTTCGGATAACACTGGGTCATACCTTGTAGCAAACAGGCTAGAAAGCATGGACTGACACTGAGTAACAGTCCAAGCTGTATTTGGCAAGCTGTTAAGGCATGTAGTGATGATAAAGGTGAGGTCCTGATATTGGGAAACAGCTTACTAAGACAATTTGGGTAAATGGGGGCAAATTTTAGAGCTTGGGGGATTGTACTGGGGCAGCAATGTCTTGATGATGGAGAGGAGTGGGGACTAAATGCCAAAGGTAGTGCCACAACGGAATAGCCACAGACTTCCATTTAGGTGATAGCAGAACTGGACATTGCCATATTGTTGGGATCGGATAGAGAGGAAGAGGAAGATGCCATTGGGAGGCTTGTATAGCTGTTTAGTGTAGGGAAATGCTGTCTCTTGGAATGCTGGATAATGATATGAAATCTGTTGTGGCGGGACAGAGGGCTATTGCGAAGATCATAGGGTGAAAGTTGTAGCAGATTGGGAAATTTGCAGGGTTGCTGCATAGTTGGAAATGAAAAGCACAAATAAAGGAAACTGAAAAAGATGATTTATTCCATCAGAGGTACCATAATTGCAGACATTTCCAAGTTAACTCTATGTGGTAACAGAGCACTGCGCTTTGACATTTAATATTCATGAGCAAACAGATGGCAGGTGGGTGAATAACCTGCCAGGTGGGTATTAGCTCCTTTGGGTTTGAGATGACAAATCCCTTGCAGGGAGTGGAGGGTGGTCAGGTAGTTTTCCAGCAGCAATTCTTATCGACGACAGATTCCCCGCCCCGCCCCCTCGGTCTTGAGTACTTCAGCCTCCTAAAGGCTCATGGGCAAGATCAAAAAGCCCCGCAGTTCCTAGAAACAGCCCTCCCGCCAACCCCAGCCAGGGTCCCAGAGTTTGAACCCGCGCTGCGCATGAGCTATTGTCCTGCGTTCCGGGAGGTCTGGAGCCGCGGGTCCCACGCCGTTCAGGACACTTGTTCAGTGTCTCCTGGCAGGACAGCTCTTCCAGTTATGGGGCTGCAGTCGGCTTGGCAGCGGCAGTAAACGCTAGGCAGGAAAAACGAAATCTGGGTCAGCCCTAACACCTGGGCACGCGGCGCGCCGCCCCAGAGGAACCCCTTTACCTTGCGCAGCGCTCTGGCAGAGTCTGCTGCGCGCTCAGCTCAGCCAGCTCCCGCGCTCCAAGTTCTGTCTGTGCCAACTCCGGGCCACAGCAGGCTCCTCCTCTTGGGGGCCAGGCAGCATCACAAGCTCCTGCCGGGCCCCAGCCAGGGCGCCGACCCTCCCCGAGGGACCCTCCGGGTCTAGCTCATCCCTTAACCTTAAGATTGAACTCCCTGCACCATCTCCCCACTATACAAAGCCGTGGCGACCTGGGACGTTATCCTAAATGTAAAAGGGGTTCAATGGCACTTCGAGATTCTAAACATCGGGAGCTGAGTGCCCCCCCCCTCTGAATCTTCATGTGCAAACAGACCCGACGTTCATAACGCGCAGCTGCTTCGGACGGTTCTACTGATGGACAGCGAGACAAAGGCAGTGACAAAGGAAAAAACCCAGCGTCAAAAGCTAGATGAAGAGGCTGCAGCGCATCTCCCCAACACCAAATGCCGAGACCCTTCTTCCCTTCCCCTCCCTCCCCCTCCCCCCTCCCCCCCCCGCCCCGGCCTCTCAGGCGAGCTGTAAATGGATATAAGTGAAGATGCAGGAGGTGATGGAGAAGGCGATGGCGGCGTAGATGAAGATGGAGAGGTGCGGGAAGTGGTCGAGGTAGCAGCCCTCGTCCAGCGGCGGCGCCGTCTCCTCGGGCGGGGGGCGCGCCGCGGCCTTGCGGGGCTGCCCGGCGCGGGCTCCCGGCGCCCTCCCGCCCGCGCGCCGCCCCGCCTTCCTGCCCGCGGCTGCGGCCGGCCTGGGCGCGCGGGCGGCCGGCGGCGCCTCGGGGGGAGCCTCGTCGAACAGGCCTTCCGAGTCAGGGTCGGGGTCCGGGCGGCCCTGCTCCGGGCCCCAGGGCTTGCGCTGAACGAGCCCGTCGGCCATCGGCGAGGTCTGCGGGGCGGCGGGGCTGCGGGGTCCGGCGGGCACGCTGCAGCCGGGTCCGGGCGCAGCGGGCGGCGGCGGGGACGCGACGCGGAGTTTACCCCGAGAGCGGGCGGCGGGCGGAGCCGGGGCCGGGGCCTCTGCGGGGTCTGCGGGGCCGCTCAGCCGAGGCGCCGCTCGCCGGGCTCCTCCCTCCCCCGGCCTGTTGCAGAGGTGGGCGGGGCGGGCTGGAGCCTGGGGCCCGCGGCTCTGGAGTGTCTGCGCAACCAGGTTTGTTTCCATGGAAACCAGAGGGGGGCAACCAGAGAGGGATGCAAATTGCTAACGGGGACCCGCGGGCGCGGAAAGGTGTGTGTGTGTGTGTGGGGGGGGGGGGTTGGCGGAAGCTGAGACGCACAGCAGAATCCCAGCCGCGCAGTGCTTCCCCGGGCTGCAGTTCTCCTCCTAAAATATTATCGTGGCCTCTTTTTTCCATTAAAATTTAACACGCGGAAAAACTACTTGTTACGTACATAATCACTGTAGAAACCTGAAAGTTAGAAGACACTATTAGAAAAAACAGTAATGAAACCTCCCCCAAGGTCCGGAGGTGGCACGTTCACCCGTCGTGCATCTCTCCGCTTGGCCCATTGCTCTCTCCCCGTGTCAACCTTTGTGTCTGTGTATCCTGGGTTTTCTCACTGAACCCTTCACCCACAAACGCAGCCTCCCAGCCTGTGGAACTTCTCAGCTAGGACTAGGAATGATCCTTTTGGAGACACCCCACCGGAGCCGTCTCTTCCTTGCGGGTGCAGCCCTTGGCGCCTTCTCTGACTTCCCCTGGCACGGCTGCTGGGCATCTGAGCTTTCAAGACTCGGTCAGTGTTCTCTTGTGGGACGGGGGCAGGGGGAGAAACAGCTTCTAGGGCTTATTAGGGTCCCAGTGGATTGAAGGGGTACACTGGCAGACACTGCCAGTTGCAGCAGACCCTACTCTTACCGCCTTAGGGAACTCACTGTCTCCTGCAACTGAAAGACCCCAGGGGAGCCAGGGCCAGAGTCCTGGAACAATGTCACCAGGTGTGGCCTTTCTGCAAGATGATCTTTCGGCAAAGGTCAGTTGCGGGGGTTTCTTGCACGGCCAGAGCTAACTATCTTACTGGTAGTGTTACAGGGCAACCCCAATATAATAGGGCCTCCTGACTGTGGGTCCTCACCTACACCCTTAAAAGGTACTTATTAATACTCAACTGCAGGCACACACGAAAGATTAATAAAAGGTTTATTTACAAAGGAAGGGGAAATGAGGAAAAGTACAGCTCGGGGAGAAAAGAGGTCTTAAATGCATCTTAAATGCATCCAACCCTTTCTGTGGACCTGGAACCCCAGTGGCACCATGAGAGTGGTGGCGAGTCAAGAGCTGTGAAGCCAAGAGAGCCCCAAGGCCCACATGTCTGGTTTTATAGCAGACCTGGCAGCTTAACTCCACCCTCAGGTCCCAGCAACCCTCCCTGTGGTGGTGACGGGATTTGTCTTTCCCAAAGTCTTGATGGCTTTGGTCTGGAGTGGGGGTGGAGTCCACAAAGCCTGTATGGAATTAGCTCAGGACATCCTTTCCCCCAACATCTCTGGGAAAGGTCTCACCAGAGCTCCCATTTCAGCAGCATGCAGCGAGTTTCCCAGGCGAGTTTCTCCATGAGACAGAGACTTTAGTTATATTTAAAAAACAGGTCTATTAGGGAACAGGAAAGGAATAGGTTTGCTGAGAGGCCTGCATGGTTGCAGGAGGGTGGCCTTGAGGAGAGCGGCCTTCACTGAGGGAGGTCAGTGAAGAGAAGCCCCGACGTGGGACAGATCATGGGCAGCCAGGAGGCTGCTGCCCTGCAGAGGGAGAGAGTTGGTGAAGAGGCACCTGCATAGTCACAGGTGGGCAGTGGGATTGCTGCCCCATTGTAAGGGTTGTGTTAGATTTTATCATCTTCAGGGAGGGGCTCATCTTTGTGGGTGGATGGTTTGTGCCATTGACATTCCCTATAGCAGTCTGATAGTTTCTGGGTGTTGTACCTCCTGATCTGGGCATTGATGCCTAAGGGTCTTGGTTTCTATAACTGGGTTGGTGGATTATGCTCATCCCTTCTACCCCTACCTCCTTGTGTGAGTTAGGTTCTTGACCTTGTATCTCCTTTCCAGTTTTTCCATTCTTATCCTCCATTAGAGAGTCTGGGAGATAGATGTATGGTATGTGGACATGAAACAGGGTGGTCCCCAGGAAAAGGGGAGATTCCAGTTTCCCTGCCCTACCCAAAGGAGGGTGGAGCTGAGCAGGAGAGAAGAAGCTGCAGCAGAGACTGAGGAAGGAAGGAAGCAGGGTGGAGAGCCAGAAGGAGACCTGAAGGAGGCACATGGAGCCGAGAGACACGTGAAGAAACTGCGGTTGTCTTTTGGTCGTGGCCTGGGTGAAACAGATGTGAGTGAGAGACCGGTGGGGAGGTGACAATGGCGGCTTTTGTCTTTTGATTTTGCTGTTTTCCTCCCAGACTTGTCTGGTTATTTCTGACCCTTTTCTGTGGGTCCCCACTGGAAGGTGCTTTAGACCCGTGGCAGGCTTTGGGGCCTTGCTCTGGGCCAGTCCTGCTTGGGTGGACTTTTACCCACGAGGGACAGGTAACATGGGGTTCTTGATTTAGAGCTATATTCTTTGCCTTTCCTGCATTGTTTACTAATTGTATTAAAGTTCCTTTTCATTAAAGTCACATACGTTTTGTGTTGATGTGGCAGATGGCAGAACAAGCGAAATAAGTCAGAAAGAAAAAGAAAAATACTGGATGGCCTCACTCATAGCAGGAATTTAGAAAACCTAAATAAGAGACCAGGAAAAAGACTAATCAATACAAAGTAAAAATCAAAATCAACAAGCAACTATAAACCAGAGACACACTATGGGCGGGGGAGAGGTAGGGAAAGGAAGAACTAGAGTCAAAATAAGGGGGGATGCAATTATATGGGGAATATAACCAAAATGAAAATGCATACATTGTGCAAAGATGAAAAAAGATGTAAGAATTATATAAAATAAAATATTTAAATAAAAAAATAAAAAGCTCATTAAAAAAAAAATACTGCCAGCACATGTGTGATTCTAGATGTTATTTCATGTCTCCTAACCTTTGAAAGAAGAAGATGGGTTAGAGCATGTGAGTCATCTCAGGGTTTCTTCAGAAAAATGAATCCTTGGGTATCCTGCAACATTAACTGGAAAAGAAGTCAGTAGCATTCAAGTTTTTGTCTTGCTCTAATAAGGCACCTCTCCCATAGTGCGATCCTTCATGCAGATGTTTTAACAGTGGATATACCAGGGCTTCCTGGAGGAGTATCATCCCATGGCGTTTACTCTCCAAGTAGAGCTGGGGTCAAACTCAGTAAATTCCCATGCATGAGCTCTCTCCTCATCCCGCTCAGTGTTTTCAGGAGCATACTGAGTCAGGTCCACAAGAGGGATGAGTGCACCCTGGAGAGCAGAATGGGCAGCATGGGCCTTAGCCACCTGATCACCTGCCCTGTTGCCCTTTGCCATGTCAGACCTACCCTTTTGGTGGCCAGAACAGTGCATCACGGTGACAGTGGATGGTAAAGCTACTACCTTCAGCAAGGCCAGGATTTTAATGGGTGTTTGACGTCCTTGTTACTGGAGGTCAGGAGTCCCCACTCCAAGGCATGGGTCAGGGCTATTAATTTGGCTTTCTGCGCTGATGTACCATGGAAGAGCCTTGGCCTCCATGGTGTTCTGGAGGGTCACCTCTCCATATCCTGCGCATCGACTGCCTTACTCCATGAAGCTGCTGCCATCTGTAAATAACTCCCACTCTGATCAGCAGAGGCTGATCAGTCAGATCCGATTGGCTGGCATACATTGTATCAATAGTTTCTAAACAGTTATGGATTAAAGTGGCATCCTAGGTCCATCAGCTTTGCTTGGAAGAAGTGTGGTGGGATTCAGGGAAGTAGAAACCTGCAGTTTCACATTAGGATTGTCCAACAGAGCTGCTTATTATTTTCCCATTCACCCAGAGGTCAACCAAAGTCCACCCTTCTGCTCCAGCAATGTCAAGACCTGATGTGGCACACACACAGTGATGGGCTGACCCAATGTAAACTTCTCTGCCTCGTGTAGGAGGTCACAAGTGGCAGCCACAGCACACAAACATGGAGACCATCTCTTAGTGGAGTGATCCAATTGTTTGGACAGATATGCAATGGGCTGCATTTCTGGCCCCAGCAATTGGATGAGCACTCCTCGGCCAACCCCTTGTCTCTCATGTGCATAAAGTCTGAATGGCTTCCTAAGATCTGGAAGCCCTAATGCTGGTGCTGAGATCAACTTTATTTTTATTTCATCAAAGGCTTTTTGACATTCTGGAGTCAAGACAAAGGTTCAGAGTCCAGGCATTTGAGAGCATCATATAAGGGTTTTGCTATTAGTCCAAAGTTAGGAATCCAAATCCTGCAAAACCCAGCCATACCCCAAAATCCTCGCAACTGTCGCCGGTTGCTGGGGACTTTAAGGGCTGAAATTACCTGTTTTCTTTCCGTCATCAGGCTCTGTTTGCCTTTCTTAATTTCAAACAACAAATATGTCACCATTTGTTTACATATCTGTGCCTTGTTAGGTGACACCTTGTAGCCACATTCTGCCAGGTGGTTCAGCACCACTACGGTATTTTCCAGACAAGATTCATAGTCCGATTTGCAATCAATAAATCATCTACATATTGTAATAAGATGCCCTGGTTTAATTGAACCTTCCTGATATCCCTGGTCAGTATTTCCCCCAAAATAGTTGGGGAGTTCTTAAACCCCTGTGGAAGCACAGTCCAGCAATGCTGGAGAGTGCTCTTGGACTTAGGGTCTTGCCATTCAAAGGCAAAAAGCGGTTGATCCTGGACACGGCAGTTGATCCTGTATTGGGATACAGAAAAAGGCATCCTTAAGGTCTAATACCGAAAATCACCCAAAGTCACCAGGTATGGCAGTTAATAAG